ATTTAATATTCTATTAAAATAAAAAATGTGACAATTAAATCAAACTACTCTTATTTACAATGTGAAATAATCAAATCCTACTAGAGGGAGTAATACATTTTCGAATTATAATTTGATTAGCAAACTAATGAAAAAGAGAAAATACTATGTTTAGACAGAATCTTATCCAAACCTTAAAAGTAAGTTTTTACATTCAACCAACTCCATTACTACCAAATATTAATCTCTGATCTTGCCTTTGTCCTATGCTTACTAGCTATTGATCAACCTCTTTTACATGTCTCTAAAAGAAAAGGTTCCTACAAGTTTTCTACATCCTTCTTGTACTTCTTGCTACTTTTTCTTTGTTAAAAGGTGACTTTTTTCATCCTTTGTTATCACATTCATCAACATGTAATGATTAGTTATAACAGTTCCTTAAAGCAGTCCATTCTTGACATAGAAAACGCCATGAAACTGACTATGTAAGGAATCAAACCAATAGTGCAAAAGAAGAAGTAGCATTAAATTTTTGTGTGGAGATGCTGTGATATTCCCTAGAAAGAAGAATCAATGGATTCCATGGCAGCTTGAAGAATCAAGATGTTCATTCCTATGCCAATGTTCATACATGGTTAAGTGATCTCATAAATTATGTCCCATGCATAGATGGTTTAAAGGGTACTGTTAAACCCCTGATGGAGCCTACATTGAGTAATTTGATATCCCAGGCAATTACTTCTTTATCCGTTATTGTTGGAAGTTCGCCTAAAAAGGAAATAGTACAACAAGTAGTTGCTTGGGATATTAATATACTCAATGTAGGTTCCATTAAAGGTCTAGTAGTAACTATTCAATCGTCCATGTAACCGACATAGTTAGTGAGAACACCAGTAATTAACCATATATGAACATTGGCATAAAAACGAAGATCGAGCTGCCATGGAATTCATTGTTCTTTCTTGGGAATTTCGCATCATCTCCACACAAAAAGTTAATGCTACTTCTTTTTCAATATTGATTTGATTCTTCAGATAGTCACCTAGCTAGTTTCATGGCGTTTTCTATGTTTGGAATGGACTGCTTCAGAGAGGGTAATAACTTATCATTATATGTTGATGAAGGTGATAAAAAAGGATAGACAACGGCACTTTTTAACAAAGCAAGAGTAGCAAGAAGTAAAAGAAGGATGTAGGAAATTTGTAAAAAGTTTTTCTTTTGGTGAGATGTAAGAGAAGTTGATCCATTCACCAGAAAGGATCAACAGGATCAGAAATAATTAGTACTGTATTTGGTAGTAATGGAGATGCTTAGATGTAAAGACTTATGTTTTAGGTTTGGATGAGACTTTGCCTATATATTGTGTTTTCTCTTTCCCACTAGAATATGAATCCAATTAGAATTCAAAAATGTAGAAGGATTTGAGTAATAATATCAACAAGAGACTCACCGAGTTGGTATTTAGTAAGTTAAAAATTTTAATTTGAAGTAAAAGTTATAAGTTCTTATTAATGAAATTAAAAATCTAAAATCCAAAATTAATTAATTTTTTTTTATCTTGAATTATACAATAAAAAATATTTTTTTTTATTTTTTAACCAATTCTATTTGCATATTATATGACTTCAAATTTAAATTTTTTTATTTTTTTTTAAAAAAAATTACGAATAAATTATTTAGATAGTTGGCTTGTTGGCTGAATCAACATTATTTTGTTTTCGTTCTTTTGGCCTTGAATTAGGATTCCGGATTTCATTGAAAGTTCTCTACGGCCATCCAACTAACAAAGTTGAGGAATTTTGCCCTTAACCTTACAATAATAAAAACTAGTGCCCCTAAACTAATCGACATGAGCAAATTTGAGAAAAATTGACGTATGAAAGTCACATGAACGTGGCCGTTAGTGATCCACTAGACATTCCACATCAGCACCATGTAGGCATGAGTTTGGCCAAGTAACATGTTACATGTGGCATATGACCCTTCATTAATTAAAAAAAAAACTTGAAAATATAAAATAGATAAATAAAACTTGGTTTTTTCTAACATGTCACTTTTAATGCTACAATTATTACACCTTTTTTTAGATTAATTGATATAAAAAAGAGTTTTTTTTTTTATAAATATATATAAAAAATATAAAAATTGATATTAATTTCGGTGATAATTTTAAATGAATGAATTTAATCAAATAATTAGTAAATTAAATTAATTTTTATTTTTTAATATAAATTTATAACTAAAAATTATATTTATTACATATTTAATATGTACTGACACAGTTTAAAAACATTTTAATTAAGGTTTAAATATCATTTTAATCCCTCAACTTTTCACTTTAACACTAAAATTGTTCCTTAACTTTAAAAAGTACTAAATTTATCCTTAAACTTTTATTTTCGATACCAAAACGATCTTTCTGTCAGTTAAATGATAAGTGGCATGTTAACTTGCGAGCAAATCAATTCTTTTTTTGCTTAACTAAAGACATGGAAAAAAATAACATAAATGATCATTTTTTTTTATGAGTTAGCATTTTGATTTAATTTAAAAATAATAATTTTTTTTGCATCCACGTCATCTCTTCTTCCTCTTTCACTTTCTCTCTCCTTTACTTTTCTTATTCCCTTGTCTTTGCAAACCCAGATCTAGGTTCTCTCTTTCAAACTTCATCTTCTTCCTCATTTCCTCCTTCAATAGCTTTGTCCCCTCATTCTCCATCAACCTTCCTCATTTTTTTCCCTGCTCATCCTTCTTTTTTCTTCTTCTTATTCTTTCTCTCTCTCTTCTCCCTTCTTCTTCCTCTCTCAAACCCAGATCTATGTTTTTCTCAAACCCAGATCTGAGTTTCATCACATAAATTAACGATATGATGAAGTTAGTAATAATAAGAAAAGCAATACAAATCATTCCATTATATTAAATATAAACGACAGCCATTTTCCAAAGTCATCAATGGTAAAGTAATGCACCAAAACCCAAAAGCAAAATCCTAGGGTTTCACTGTCCTCCAAATTCACAATCAGTGAATAGTGATCCCCATTCCAAACACTGAAAAGCAATCGCAAGAAACACATAAAATTTCACCATTACTTCAATAATTATCTCACATCTCCAAATCCAGATAAGAAATCAGAAACAAATTACTATACTTGACATAACAAACCCAGTAAACTCATTGCAATATCTCCAATAAATCGGCTCCAACTTAGTTAAAATTCGTTCAAATCAGCACAAAAAAGGATCCAAAAGTCAATCGAAAACACTAAATACAAATTAGAGCGAAAACACACCTTATTCTCTGCCAGCTATCAAGAGAGATATGCTCACATCGACTTCAAATCCAAAAAGGCAAAAACACGACAAACCCAGACCATCTACAGATACAAGCACTGATACTTCAAGAATCTAGCATCAGAAGAGCATATCAACAGCGCATACAAAGACCATAGAGTTTAGATGAGATGGGATTACGACTGTAATAACTATACGGACAGCAGAATAGCGTGGGTAAGATAGCTGTGGACAGAGACTTAATGCGGCGACCTGAAAATGGTGGCTCATGAATATTAGACTGCAGCAACGAAATTCGGGGAGAAAAGGGAGGCGGCTGGAGGTTTCTAACGACATAAATTCATTGGGCACAGCAGCGGAGGGAAGACAAAACTCCGGGATGGATAGATTTAGAATGAAGACAGAACATGCGAGATTGAAAGAAATCGACATCGTTAGCCGTTAGGGATCAATTTGGGGTTAGACCTGGCAAACG